AATTTTATCAGAAAAACTCATTATCTTTTTTGCATTTTTATTGTAATAGATCACATAAGTAGAAATCATAGTAATCATTTCTAATTAACTTTTGGTATTTAAAAAGATACTAAAGTTTAAACATGCAAAACTGAATTAATTTGAATGATTTACTTTAACTAAAAACACCAATAAAAAAAAATTGTTAAAATGATCTTCTCAATTGAGTGTATTATAAAATTTGATTATAAATGAAAAAAAGGATTGTTAAATTGAGGTGAAATTAAAAATTATTTATTTTTTTAGATTTATGATTTATATAAAAACATATTTTAAAAAAAATTAGAATGTTATAGACTGGTAGTAGCACACACAACTAGAGTTAAAAATTAACAAATTACAAAGTTAAATTATTTACTTTTGTAGTTAAATACTTTTATCATATTAAATCTAATTTGACTATAAATACTTATTACTTGGCAATTTAAGCTAATTCAAATTTAAAGTTACTTTTTTGACTTTAAAAAAACAAAGAAATTTAAATAAGTTTAACTTCTTATGTCTTATGAACTTTATTCAAATAATAATATAAACTTTAATTTAAGATTAAAACTTCTTCTTCTTCCTCGCCTTAATCTCAACTACTTGGGATTGGCCCCCTTATCCTAAATTTATACTTGACACGATATCCCACATTCTCTATGCTCATATCAGATGTCCTCATATCGCATTCAATAACATCTCTCCATTTCTTTTTTGGTCTTCTTTTTTCATCTACCTCTTTTCCCTTCGACATTTATTTCTACAACTGCTCTTACGGCTTCCGATTCTTCTCTTCTCATAACATAACCAAACCATCTAAGTCTATTTTCTCTAATCTTATCCACGATTGACGCTACACCTATACCCCTCTTATATGCTCATTTCTTATCTTATTTTCTCTAGTCACTCCACTCATCATCTGAGCATTCTCATCTCTGCTACACTCATTTTCTGCTTTACTTTCTTATCAACTGCTCAACACTCTGAAACATAACTTTTGCACAACTGATCTTAAATACTTAAAAAATTCCACCTTTCCAATCACGTCCTCGCCTATTGTCACTGATCTCCTTATTTCACGCAAACTACTTAAAAATCAACAATTCAATAAAACATCAATGTGATACACTATAATATTAACTCGTAAAATATTTTAAGAACTTATAAAAGAAAAAAGATTTTTCTTTTTTTTCATAATAAAGTACTCTTAAAAATCTTTAAGTTGGTATAAATTTAGAAATAGACTTTCTGAAGCATTTTCAAAAATTGAAAACAAAGAATTCTTTTTTCGGTTTAGTGATCTAATTCTTCTAGAAGAAAGTTTGTCGACAATTTTTTTTTAATAATTAAGAAGTATGTTTTATGAGCTTTAATTTAGTATAAGTTTAATAATGCAGTCACTCCAAAATAGTTTCAAAATAAAAAAAAATTTTCTCTAATCTTATCCACGATTGACGCTACACCTATACCCCTCTTATATGCTCATTTCTTATCCTATCTTCTCTCATCCACTCATCCACCTAAGCATTCTCATCTCTGCTACACTCATTTTCTGCTCTACTTTCTTATCAACCGCCCAACACTCTGAACTATACATCATAGCTGGTCTCACTACAGTCTTGCAGAATTTACCTTTCAGCCTGATTGGAATTCTTTTATCACATAAGACACCAGACGCTTCTTTCACTTCAACCACCCGCACTTAATCCTGTGTCTTACATCCACGTCAATGCCACTCTATTGTACAACTGATCCTAAATACTTAAAACTTTTCACTTCTCCAATAACGCCCTTGCCTTTTGTCAATAGTCTCCTTATTTCACCTACCTCGTCTACTTCATTATCAAACTCGTACTCTATATACTCTGTCTTACTCCTTCTTATTCTTAAACTCTTTTCTTCAAGAGCTGATCTTCACACCTCTAGCCTTTGATTAATTTTCTCCTATTAACACTATATCTTCAGCAAACAACATCCACTACAGCACCTTTCCTTTTATTTCTTATTTATTTAATTTAAATAAATTAAAAATAAATAAAAGTGTCAATATTTCCGGAACATTGTCAAAAATTACATTGAAAAAGCTTAACTTGTGTGCAAAAATTGTTTTTGAATTCCCCCTACGAGCAGGTTTAGAGTCAGATTTCAAAAAATTTATATTAAATGAAAGAAAAATATCTAAGTTTCAATATAAAAAAAAAAATAATTTTAATTTGTTCATTTTCAAAAAGTTAGTCTTAAGTATTAAAATATTTCATGTTAAACAGTGATTTTTACATAAAAATTACATTTTTCGTTACATTCGACGGCCATTTTCCTATAGAAGAAAAGGTGTCGGGACAATTTTTTTTTTTTAACTTTTAGTACATAATGTAAGCTTTAATTTAAAATATGTTAATGGGACGCAGTATTTCCGGAAATTTTCAAAAGTTAAGTTGAAAAAGTTCTACTTTTTTTACGTATATTTCAAGTTTTGAAATACCCCTGTATAATGAGAAATTATCCGATTAAAAAAAAAAATGTTGATTAAAATAAGTATATATAATATATTTAGGGAAAAAAATTTGTGTTGATACATACATTTTTCAAAAATTTATAGTAATTTAAAGTTGAAAACATAAAATTGAAAAATGAAATTTTTAACAAAAAAATTGAATGTTTTTAACTACAGCAGCTATTTTCACATAGAAGATAAGTCGTCGGTACAAATTTTCTTTTTCATTTTATAGTACATGTCATAAGATTTAATTTGATATATGTTTAAAGGACGCAGTATTTTCGGAATATTTTCAAAAGTTAAGTTGAAAAAGTTAGTTTTTGTAAAAATGTTACTATTTTCATTCCCCCCCTGTGAGCAGGTTAAGTGTTAGATCATAAAAAAAGAAAGGAAAATATCTTAGGTTTGAATATAAAAAAAATTATGTTGATTTGTTCATTTTTGATAAAGTTATGGTACATTTAAGAAAAAAATGAAAAAAATGAAAAAAATGAAAAAATTATTGATTTATAAAATTGTAATTTGTTTGGAAATTTCCCCTCATTTATGTCGAACAAGAGAAATTTTTTCAATTTTCGAAGGTAATGTTTTCGACTAAATACGATTCCTTTAGACGTATTGTTGAAAAAAATCGGTCCAGTGAGTGCTGAGAAAAAATTGTAACAGACACAAAAAAAAAGTAGTGACACATAAAAAAAATTTAAAAAAACGGTAGCAGAGTGTTGACGTAGCATAGTTGGAACAAATATAGATGATATCTAACAGTGATTAAAATCACTCTAATAAGGAACGCTTCGATATAAATCTGTAGATAGTGTTTAATTTTAAGAATTTGGTGGATAAAAATTTGTAAATTATGAAAGACCTAGCAGACGTGGTAATACATCGTTATATAACTAGAAATAAAATAATTTTTTATAATTTCATCAATAAAATTATAAAATAAAAAAAACCAGCACAGTGGGATCGTGGCCTTGTGGGGATGTGGCATAATTGGATCCAGTATAGATTTAAACTAACAGTGATTAAAAACACTATCATAAGAAACGCTTCGATACAAATCTGTAGATATTGTTTAATTTTACGAAATTGGTGGATTATTCTAAAAGCAAAATAAAGTCCTATTTCCTTCATTATTCCTAATTAATAGTTCTGTGATTTATAAGTATAATATATGATTAAATATCTATTAAAGTAATGAAATATAGTATGAAATTGATATTCAATAATTTAGTATAGTAATTTTTACGAAGAAAGAGTTACATAGGAATATTTAGTATTTCTGTTGAAATTATTTATTACGATATAAATACAAAATATATAATAAGTGGTTTTAATGAAAATTTGGGCTGTTTTCATACATTTACTATTAATAGTAATTGTATAAGTTCCTGACCATGTATCAATCTAAACAAAATCATTTTTTAAATAACTATGGTTCAATATGGTTAGTCATATGACTATACCATTCTTCATCAATTTCTGCACCTCTGTAAAACGTTTGGTCTCTAAGGTCTATTGGAGCTCTGACGACAAACATTGGGCGAACATTCTGTTACAAATAATGTTGCTTAAAACAGTATTTTCTTATTAATTTAACTTTCATTATTTTAATAGCTGTCAAAATTTCCGCTCTTCGTGGCAAAATAAGTTGAAAAAGTTCTACTTTCTATATGCATTTTAAGTTTTATCATCTATGTATGTATATCAAATAGTTGATTAAATATGAAATTTTCATTTTTTTTTTTTTATCACAAAACGTTAAAAAAATAAAAATAATAAATATTCTACAACTTATAAATATAATTATTTAAAACAAAACAAAAAAAAAATGCTCAAAAGTTTAGTGGTCGATGACAAATAAATCATTCTGTATAAATACATATTTTAATGTAGTTTTGGTTACTAACTTTTTTGTTAGATATTCATTACTAATTTTGAGCGACACCAAGAACATTTTTTTAAGCCTGCTAAAATTTTAAATTGCATAGAGTTCACGAATAGGTAAATTAGAGAACAGAATCTAATAGAATAAAAAATTAAAAATATGGACTAACAATATTTGGCTTTTATGCCATCAATATTATAACTTAATAAATTTTAACTAAATACTCAAAAAAATAAATTTAAAATGAGGTAGATAGAATGTTAAACATCTGTTTTTAGTTGAAATTCCAGTATTAATACATTTTACGGCATTCTACAACTATAACTACCTACTCCAGGCATTACACCAGCCATAATCGAAGCAGCTGCAATTTATAGATAGTTGTTCACAATAAATGGTTACCAAAAAAATAAAAACCTGTTTCTATGTATAATTTGTTAACCACAGGTATGGTGGTCAAAACTTAGTAGTAGAAATGTCGCGACATAATAACGAAAGATCAGCCGGCCGAACGTTGAACAACAAGGTAGAAATACTGAAAACAGCATGTGACCGGCCGGTGAAGCGCACTCAATGGATGGTGGAGAACTGAGTGAAAACATGCGTCAGTAGTCGGCTGTCCGTTATTGCGTTCGGTTCGGTTGTTTCAACCGTCGCCGTCGTTGTCATCGTTAACAACTGCAGTGAGTTATATACGTGTTGTGTTGTGTTGCATTTTTTTGTGTGCAGTGTGGTGCGCATTGTCTTTAGTGTAGTTATACTCGTGTGTTTGTGACGGCTATGTTTGATTTTTTTAATGAGAAGCATTATGTTATTGCCGTTAAATTACACCTCATAAGAACAATAATAAAGTTGTTAAATTGTTGATATCAATTTATAGTGATCACTGTTTGTCGATAAAAATATATAGAAACACATGTTGAACTTTCTATGTTCTTGTAAACCCTTATTAAATTATATCAATGGATTAATACTTAAGAGGTTAGTATTAAAATATATTGAATTTTATGATGCACTAATTTTAATGCGTACTGTTATGTTTCCCGTATGTATTTAATGAGCGATAAGTTTACACGTGCCTCCAGTGGGTGTCAGTTAAAATTTTATGTCTAGACGTCGTAGCGTCTCTTTTCATCGGTTAGGCGCCCAACCGCCTATTTTTTTTGTTTTATATTTATACTTATTACTCAAAATATCCCTGAGTAATTAACAATCCCACTAAAGCGTTCAAAGTGTTGGTGTATTAATGAAAACGTTATCGCCGTTTTCTGTTATGTTTTTAGCAGAATTGTACACAGAAAACCGGTTTAAACGACGTGATCGCACAGGCAGTATGCAGGTTATTCGTCGGTGTAGTTTTATTGAAAAAAAAAAGTAAGCAAAACAATAAAAATACTCATTTTTATAATAACCGTTTTCATGTTATTCTGCAATACTCTTCTTTTTTTATAATTTGAGATTTTAAAAGGAACTAAAATTCACTTCATTTTATAGCATAATATTGAACATTTACTTAGGTTCAATTCCAGTAAGCTAGTCTCCAGCTATTTTCTCCTAAGAACATGTGTTGTCCTTACCAAAAATTTTTTATTCAAGTCGGAAACTATAAAACCTGTCGCTTCCTGTCTAGCTGGTTCAATTTTGTTGTAAAAAAATGAACTAATTTGTTCTGATTTTGCAGTTAATAGCTCGTGCGAGTTATACAATATTTATTAAGTATGAACAATAAAATCTGTTTTTTTATTTGTCAAAGTACTAAACTTCACAAAGATCTGCACATTTTATCAGTTTGTAGTTATTTTAAACAGCTATTTTGTAGTTGATTTTTTATTTAAACAACTCTTGTTATAAGTTCAAAAATCCAGATATCCAGTGTATATTTAATGTAAAATAGCCAACGGTTAGAAAATGTGCTCACTGTTTACTAACAAATACTAAATATATTAGGTCATAATCATTCGTGCACAGCTCATTCTAACATGGACTGTTGTAAGATCTGATAACTGAAGTCTAACCTAGCCGCTGTGCGTTTTATGTAGTGTAGTTTTTCAGGGGTTACTAAACCATTATGCGACTGTATGTGGTCCATTGTTTCTTCCGCTTTGTTTACTATATCAAATAATAAGAATCTAAGCTATTTTTAACAAAAAAATATTATGTCAATAGGTATTCTAATTATGTCAATATCAACTATTAAGTTATTAGATACTCGTATCAGTAATTTTTTGTAACAATTAGTTAATAATTAGTGAACATTTGTCATTTCTTAATTCGACTAGTTTTTGAAATTAATTTTAATGTTCATTTTTATTGTAATCAGTAATTATCGCGTATTTTAAAGCTTCCAATAAATTGTATGATTTGACAATGTATTTACATTTTTGATTAGCAATATGAAAGCTTGCAACAGTTTTTTTAGTGACCTGAAGCAATTAGATTCCTATTTATATTATTTTATCGTATTTGAAACACAACAAAACTAGGTCAATCAAATCTTCTAAATCTTTAATAATTTCAGTATAATCATTGATACTTAATCATTTGACTATTTGTTACAAGTTACAATTGAAATTAAGCAATACTGATATTATATTTTATGTTAAACAATATACATTAATGTATATTATATATATATTTTTTTATATATGCATTCAGTTTTAACATATTGCCTTGTTAAGATTACCGGCACTTGACCAAATTGCTGGTTTTTTTTTTTTATTAAGAATAATGTTCCTATTGCCTTAATATATTTATTATATATAAACGTATTATATATTTAACAATAACAATGAACCATCCGTCACAAATATCCCATCAAACGAGACGGTGCCTTTAGTATCGTCAAACCTTAGTGGCAATTACTGTTCTGAATACATATATAATGTATAATGAATGCTTCCAATTGAGTTTCCGTATTAATGCAGTTGGCGCAATTCCAATGCGCCAACAATTTCCTCTGGATTCAAGTGCTTCGTAGTAAGCTATAGACAATAAATTATATTTTCAAATTCAAAAAAAGAAAAGAATTTCTGCACGCAATCTAATATAGATGCATTTTGCTAAGAAAGTTTCTTACAAAAAATAATCTTATCTTTTAATCATTTTAAGCACTTATGGACATATTCTTAGATATTGGAAGAAAAATAATATCTGCAATATGTGATTTAATTTTTTCCGTTAAAATATTAATATAAATAAATGTAAGGTTAAAATAATAATATTAAATTATAGACATTAAATATTGTGAGTTATACTAGTTAAATTAATAAATAAGTATAAGAATAGGTAGAAATGAAATAACACAAAAATATTTTGTAATTATGTTTAAAAATAAAATATTTATTGTTATAGTTATAAAAACTTTCTTAATTGTTATGAATTAATATTATTTAAAGAATTATTTTTAATTAAATTTAATACATTCATATCTATTATCTAATTAGTATTCCTGATAAGGTAAAATAAATTCTATATTTTATTTTTCATCAGATACGTTTAAATTATATGAAGCATTGTACATTATTTGTATTAGTTTTTTATTTAAAAAAATATGAAACAAAGTAGAAACATATTTTAAATTATTCTCTATTAAATTTTTATAAATTTCTTTGGAAGCCTTAATATTTTGCTTGGATTTTTATAATGAAATTTATTTAACTTTTATATTATTGGGCAATACTAATTTTTTAAATAAATAATATACATGGGTATGTGATTGTTACATTCGTGTTTATCTACATCAAAAACTATATATTCCTTATTTAATATCAAATCAGATGTTCCCTTATTTTTGGTGTATGTAAATTTCCAACTAAAATTTAACAGTGTAAAAAAGCCAATTTCTGACTCGCTCCTCCTAAAAAAGCGCCTATCGAAGTAGTGTTTTCTACACTGTGGCCAAGTTTATTCTTTCTTTAAGTTATAAACTGTACATCTCCTTTCATAAATAATCCTGCTTCTTTATTTGTGTTGTTTAACACTTAGCCAGTTTCTGAATCAGGCATACAACATATTTTGTAGTATTTTCCAATGTATATCTGAAAGTTATCTGAATTTGTTTTTTACTTCTGAATACTCTCTTTCCTATCACAAACGTAATTTTTAAATGAGTACTAAACTAGTACTTTTCCAGATATCAGTAATTTGATAGGAACATTTTTTTGAGGTAGTAGGTTTGGAACTTTTCACATTTTCAGTTAAGTTTTGTTAGATATTCATGATATTCCTTTTTTTATATAAATATTAGTTTTTAGTATAAGTTTTTTTAATAAATTTAAAAAATATGATTTATATTATTAGTGTAGTCCTAAAAAGTTATAAGAAAAAAAATACTACAAAATAGTCACTGTATTATAAGTTACAGAATATATCAGAACATACCGGACCCTACTCTTTATACTTATTTTTATAAATTTCTGATTTTGACAGTTTTTTCCGAACACTATTGGTATATTGTTAACTGTTTTTTTTACTTAATTCGTGAAAAAATACACGAATAATATAAAACTGAAATATATTTTCTTATTTAATACTGTCTGTATTTTATCTTTTAATTAACTATTAGTAATTTAGTAATCATTTAACTATTGAAAAGATCAAAATAGCATTATGTCATTTCGTTTCTATCTTCATTCAAACTTCAAAGTATACATTTTAAACTAAAGTAAAAATGAACTTTAAATTTTATTAATTATTAGGCTTTAACTGGGTTATTTAAACAATTGGTATACATTTATCTTTCTACTTTTAAATTTAGTAGTCCTTTTATCTTGGAATAAATCATTCTTGAAAGTATGTTTCTAATAAGTATTGAAATTTTATTCTTTACACACAGTTTTATTCAAATAAAATAGATTTTTTCTTTGTATTTAATATTATTTTATTATTATTGTATTAAATAAAAACTATCTACAAAAATAGAAATTTAAACTTTAATTAATATGTAATAACTCTTTTTATAATCTATATTAAATGAAACCGCAAAACTTTTTGAGTATCTATTGAATACTTAGGTAAAATAAATTGTTTAAATTTTATATGAAATGATTAACCTAACAATTTTTTTTATACTTGAAAGATGTAAAATTTTATGTTTTAAAATTAAATAAACGTCCACGATGCACACTTATAATGCGTGCATATCAATTTCGTTTATGTTCAAAAATTATTTTATTAGTTTACCACATTTTCTACTCGTTCTTTTATCATATTCGTACCCATCCCGTTGGAAATAAATAAATCCTTTTGTACCGTAACTATTTTTCATATCGTTCATTATATCGCCGACCCCAGAAAATACTAACGATGTGTATTACATGTGTAAAGATCTTTTATTGAATTATATTTTGTGGGTTTATATTTTCTTAGACTATAGTTTTCATTGTACCTTATATTTAAACCTTGAATAATTTCATTTCTATTAACAAATGGCTAGTTCAACGAAGACTGGTGTTGTTATTCCTTTAAACTACGGGTTTTCCCTTAATAAGTATTCAAATGTCTCGTTTTTAAATGTGTAACCAACTGTTGCATTATTTTATTATCTAATAGGAAATAATTTTATCGATAATGAGGTTGAAGCATTTTCATTTTAAACCACCATATGCAATTGAAATTTAATCGCACGAAAAATGAAATGAATTAAAGAAAAACTACTTATCTTTGCCCTTAAAACTTTTCATTTTTGTTTTTACTTCAAAATAAATTAACAAACCACGTTTTTTTGTATTATGTGTGTGATGACACAGAATTGTAATCTTTATAAAATATACACACATTTTGCATTTAAATACATTAAACAATTAAATTGTGAATTAGTGGTTAAGATTTACAATTGGCCAACCCCAAGTAGTTGGGATTAAGGCGAGGAAGAAGAAGAAGAGTGGTTAAGAATTACAACTATTTTGATCACAATTTAAAAAATAAATAATAATAATAATAACTTTAATTTTTATTAATTAACGAATATTGTAATACCTAAT